GGGAGGGAGACGGGAGAGAGGGAGGGAGGAGGGGAGAGGGAGAAAAGAGGAGGGAGGAAGAGAGAAGAGAGAAAAGCTAAGTGAGACGAAAGAGAAAAAGCGAAGTGAAAGAAAAGCGACAGAAAGAGAGAGAGAGAGAGAGAGAGAGAGAGGGAGAGAGAGAGAGAGACAGAGAGAGAGAGAGAGAGAGAGAGAGAGAGAGAGAGAGAGAGAGAGAGAGGAGAGAGAGAGAGAGAGAGAGGAGAGAGAAGAGAGAGAGAGAGAGGAGAGAGAGAGAGAGAGAAACAGGAAAGGACCAACGTACAGCAAACCTTGCGAGACGACACCAAGTCGCTGCCCCAACATCGGGCGCGTCCCCACCAGGCAGGCAGGACGAGCAGCCCCTATCCCTGCCTATCTCGCGACCTTCCTCAGCAGCGGCAGACGAGGAAGGTTCCCCATCACGCCAGGAGAGAAAGGGCCTGCCACCACGACTGCGCCCGCCGGAACCAAATCTACTTTATAGAATGGCAGACCAATCAGTTTAGGATTCGGGCTGATTGCAGACGCTGTGTGTGTGTGTGTCTGTGCGTGTGTGTGTGCTTGAGTGCATGTGCGTGTGTAGGTGCGTATGCCAGCGTGCATGTGCGTTCGTAAACACAAACAGTAGCGTCCTGCAGGAAAAAAAAAAATAGTCCCCCACAGAGTCACATCAAATCCTGTATTTAGATATAATCAGTTTCGACCCCTTAGCGACAGCGTTACACTGCATTTCTCTTTGCTTTGATCCATCGCACTTTCAGATCATGTTTCTGTTTTCTACACACCTCTGCTCTCAGCTGTCTCAGCCTCGCCCTGCATAGCGGACTGGCGCTTTTTACCTCGCTTTGTCTAGCTGCCTCTCTTTTTGTCTGTCTGTTGGCTATCTGTTTAATTGTATATCAGTGTGCCTCTGTCTGTCTGCCTGTCTCCCTCGTAAAATCCGAGCCAGCAGAGTAAATATTTGGACGCCTCGTCGGCTTCCGCTGGCTATGTAATACTGCTTTGCGAATTCCGGCGGTCCAATCCCTGCCCGCCCGCGCCCAGAGCCAGCATCCCAATCCCAACCAATCGTCCCTCTGCCCATCAGATCGACCCCCGCCCTCGAATAATCCGCGCGCCCCCTGCCCGCCGCCCTCCACCCGCGGCAGCCGCCTTCGCCGCAGCCACCAAAGGGCCTGGCACCCCCTCCCCCCAGCCCTGCCAGGCCCTCCGAGGCTCAACCAGGAGGCCAGAGCTCACCAGCGCCAATCTCCAACCACCAGAGCGCCGGGCTAGGTAACTGCGCCACCCTCCCTCAGTGACTTTGGCCGAAGGTCACGGACGCACGAATGCACACGGGCGGGAGACGCTGAGCTCGGGCAGCCGGGTGTGCACACTCACATGGCATGCATGCAAGCAGTGTGCCCACACACTCACACACATTCAGACGCACGCACATGCATACATACAAGCAGACGTATGAGTGTGCACGTATATAACTCGCCGGCAACTCGCGCACACATTCCATATACGACAAGGATACACACACACGTGCAACGAAGCCGCGCTGGGCCGAGGAGTCACGTGCACACCAGACCATGCACGCCTCGCATTAGCGCATGCACATGTCATGCAGAAGAATGCGACGCGCACTCACGCCACGCAGCACGGCAGCGGCTGGTGCATGCGAGGGGCAGCGCCGTCTCGCGCGCTCGCACTCCACTTAGGGGGGGGGGGGCTCCCTCGGATGTGGGCGGTGGCAACCCGAGGGCGGCTGTGGGCGTGGGCGGTAGAAACTCGAGGGCGTGCTGATGGCGACGGGGCCGACAGAGCTCCTCTCAGCCGAGCGTTTTCGCCACCGAAGGTCACGCCAGCGACACGAGCGGCTTTGGCAACAGCTGCAGAGGCCACGGTATGCACAGCTGACCAGCGCCACCAAACAGCTGCTCGAGATCACAGTTTGGGCTTCTGATAACTTGGGTGGGAGATGCAATTTCCAACGCGTGATTGCCCTGTCCTGTGACGCCCTCAAGCAGGCAAGCAGTTAGGGGAGCTCGCTGCTGCCCGGCCGCGCGGAGGCTCTCGGAGGTCCACGCAGGAGGCGAGGCTCGAGGCGACGTTTGGGGAAATCATGGGGAGGGACGCTGGGGGACGGAGGCGCTCGGGAATCGTATGAACATCCATTACCGGCACCTCCTCTCTCTCTCTCTCTCTCTCTCTCTCTCTCTCTCTCTCTCTCTCTCTCTCTCTCTCTCTCTCTCTCTCTCTCTCTCTCTCTCTCTCTCTCTCTTGTGTGTGTGTCTGCGTAAGAGTGTGCGTGCGAGCGTGCGTGCGTGTGTCTGAACTTGCATATGAAAACATACAATGCATGCAAATCTAAATAACAAACATGTATGAGTCAAAATCCTTTTGTTGCACTCAATAGCCACTGGAAAGCTAGTGCCGCTAATTCCCTCCTATAGGCCTATCCCGTCGCATAAGCTCTGCCTGTAGCTTCCTC